TGAAGAAAACTTTAATATCACAAGTCAAGAACCTATAAAAATACAATAATTTAGGGAATATGTCAAGGTCAGGTTTGGTTAGTCAAAACATAGGCAATGATATGTATTCATTGTTTTCTCAAAATAATTATTTTTAAAAGAGCTATTCAACGCCACAAAAACTCAAAGAAGTTTAGAACTTATTGACATGAAATTTAGTCATTCAAGTCTATATGATGACACAACATAAAGAATATGATTAGACGCAATTATTCAGCCCCTTAATTGGTTGAAGAGATAACTTTCAATATTATAATAATAATTGGTCGAAGAGACGGTAGCAGCCTCTTGTACTGATGTCATCAATCATAAATTGATCATAAATATATATAATGAGCATAGCTTGTTCCCTTAAAATGGTTGAAGCCATTCTAATTCTAGTTAATTTCATGGTTTCAAAGTCTAAATGAACTCAAAATTAGATGTCTTTGATCTTTCAGATCATCATGATACAAGCATTATTTCTTATCATCAACTTAAAATTTTTTTAGTATAATCAGTTCTCATAGTACTTTTTAGAAGTTGTCAATTAGTTATTTAAGTGCTTCAAGATGCATGATTTTTTTATCATTGAATAAGTAATAAGGGAGTTGTCAGTAAGAAGCTACCATATGAAAGTTTACAACAAAAGAGGTCATTGGTATGAGATTCCAATGTGTATATTTAGGTATATTGTACATATTTGAATCATTAGAATGACTTAAAAAATTAGACTAACAATAAGCAAGTCCAAAAAATATATCAACGCTCTCCAACTTGTAACCCTTATAATCAAATGTGTGAAATAATTAAATAAACTAGATACTCAACATAAAGTTTTACAACTGTAAGTGATAAGTTGCATAATACTTTATAGACAATAAACAAAAATATTTATGATAAGCACAAGTTAAATGATGTAACACTTATCTATATAGCATGTATTCTCTTATTTTATTTAATTAATCATATAAAATATCTAAACAAACATGTAATGATGTTAAGTACATTAGTATTATATATAATTTTTGGGAATTAAATATTGATGTATATCTTAATGTTTTGATCGATAATTAATTTTTTTATTTAAAATTCATATAAATTATTTTTAGGCTTTAAAATTATATAGAAATATCCATAAAACTTTAGGTTCTTTGAATTTCATGGGTGGCATAGCTACCGAGATCAATGTAGTCAATTATGTCTCTCCTAGGATAAATTATTTTATTTAGAAAATAGTAGTGAAGTCGATTTACAAAACGGACACTTAAAGGTCCCAAAATCCTCTATTTTTTAGAGAGGTGTCAATTTCTTAAGGATTTTCACTAGTTCCTAAAAATTACCAAAAAAAATCATGTAATTAAAATACTATAATATCAGTTTTATGACAAAGACAATTTATGAATTGAACTTATATTAACTCCAGAAAAAATATTTGGCAGAGTCAACGTAAGTGTTATTACATTATATACGTCCACTCTCTATAGTCCTCCTCTCGAGGTATTGCACTAAACCTTTAATTTCTCTCATTTAACCCCCAAAACAAGGTAGAGAATCCCTTAAAATAATCTCTTATATCAACTTGGTGAGGCAGAGTATCAGAATACTTTTTACCCACTTGGTTAGGTAGAGAACCTTGAAACTTCACCCTCCTAGTGAAGACAACGAACTTAGAATCCTTTTTCACCCTCCTGGTGAAGGCAAGAACCTCAATCTTCAACCTTGAAGCATTTCTCCCTTAAGTTACCCAAGAGACCAACATAGACACCTGAAGGAATCAAGGTAGAATCTTTTTTAGAGTAATGACATGAACCTCCTCGCAATACTTCTCCCTCTCACGCAACTTCTCCTTCTCCCTCTCCAAGATCTTAGACCTCTTAAAGCTCTCTCACAAAATTCCTTCAACAACCAAAGATTTCTCAAGAGTCTAATAATTAAGTTCTTATACAATGCTTCAAAAATATCCTAAAATTTTAATTTAGTCAAAATTGTTTGTATAATACGATCGAGGATCATTTAGTACAATTAGTTTAAAAATATATTTAATCTAGTACGTTTTGAACAGCTTTAGGATGATCTGTTCAAGTTTTTCTTATCGATCTTACAATATGATCTTGGGATCATATGATACGATTAGTTCAATGTTCTTTAAATCATACAAGACAAACTCTAGGACAGTTGAAATCATATCTGTCATTCATTAAGTACCATTGACATTGTAATATATAATTAATTTAAAAATCAAAGTTTTATCC